TATCTAACGGCGCACAACAAGGGGTGGTAACGGTTTTCGAGAGGGTGGGGCTTTCTCAAAGGGTGGGGTACCACTCGCCTGAGCTTGCTCATCTTTGCCCATAGGGTTGATGATCGATTGCTTGGATGGGTTCTGGCTACCTAACTCAAAGAAGCTTCCCGTTTCCTTTTCTACGTCGAACGAGATCAGTCTCAAGTTGTGGGCTTGTAAAGCTGCTGAATCCTTGTAAACTAGACGAATCTGCCGGCACACAGCAGTATGCGCCTGGTCAGGAGGGAGTGTCCCACTGGCCGTTCTTATGCTACCCAATACATAGGTAGGTAGCTTGGCCTTCGACTAAAGCTGCAGAGAGATTCTTCAAGTGGCCTAGTGAACCACCACCACGAGAAGGTCATGCTGCCGCAACGTGCTTTTGACGACGGACCTGGCAAGTGTGGCTGCGTGGCGACAGGTTCAAGCCTTCAAGGATGAATTTTGGGCGAAGACCCCGCCCATCACTTTGGTGAGCCTTGAGCAACGCTAATCTGTATTACTACCAGGCGGCTCGAGGTCCTGCAGAAGGGTTGGGTATTGGATTGGATCGACTAGAAAGAGGGTGCCAAATTTTCTCGACCAATGCATCATGACCAAACCTGGGCATCATTGTTGGCCCTGATCCTGGAAAGGCTGCCTACTAAGGCAAGCAGGCCTGGTAGCCTCCATGGGTTACTCTGACATCTGGCCCTTTGGTATGAGTATGTTTGGGAATAGACTAGATCTGCAACAGCTTGAGACGGTTTTATGATGACGAAATGTGATGCTGGGCTGCTGCTACTGGACATCGTGAGCACCAGCTACCCGTTATACAGTCATTGACTTGTGATAGGATCGGACATTTCATGATCGGAGACTAGTGTCTGACAATGCCTCGACTTGGCCAACTTCCCTTCATGCGTAATCGTCAGCAGGTGGGAAAATATATGTACACAGAATATCTCACTGTAACTTCGGTAAAGTGGGTTGGCAGGATGGAGATTTGCAAAGATGAAACGCGGAACCGCGACATGAAAGGGGACGTCTTGGGTGGATGTAAGCAAGCCCACACACAAAAGTAATATCTACCTACCTAGCTTATTCAAACTCAGCGCCACATGAGGTCGGAAGGAGCGGCTGAAGGAACTCGGTCACAAGCTAATTGCGAGGCATCTTGGCCTAGACCCCAGGCAAAGCCCAGAACCCAGGGCTATTGCCAGGGTGGCTCGGGGCTCAACTGCCAGCTTCTCTTTCCCTTACCTTTCACGACCTTTCTCTGCCAAGGCTCTACAAATATGTACGAATACCTGCCGAAGTTGGTTCATCTCAGCAGAAGATGATATGAGGTCCTTGCAGAAGCGAGATGCGGGTAGCAGCCAAATGCAGTAGGAGCCTAGCCACGTCCAGGCTCATGCGTGGTATCTACTGCCTGTCTTGGGGGACTTACATTATATCAAGTACCCAGGTATGGTACCTACCTAGGGAGAGAGAGGAACCGAGTTGCTTCAGACGAAGGAAAACGCTATTTCGTGGAAGACTTCAATGACCTTCGCGATTCTTCGACCCTTCTATCCATGTAGTGCCCCCCGTCACACCCGAAACAATAGATCACAAGCCACAGGCATTCGAGTCTAGTTCTTTACCAGAGAGCGGCTCAAACCCGGCTAGAACGGGAACCGCGCTTTGTGCAACAGCTTTTACTCAAGATTTCTAGCCTGGCAGCCTGGGTAGGTATTTTCAAAATTCGATCCATACTTTCATCCACTTCCTGTGCCTCGATTAGAGTCGCATCCTTGTGACACACGAACGCCTTGAGTCTGAAGCTTCATTTCAAACAAGGCCCACGACTTCGATTGCACCATATCATTCGAACCCCGTTGTTTACATCCAATACAGAAGCTGCATTGCGACCTGACTTACTCAACGTGACCTGTTTCGAATTTATACTACAGCCAAGACAAAAGCGAAGCAAAAATCACAAGCAATCGCAAGACAGGGAATACGAAGATTGAGGAAAGTTTGGTAGCCAAAGTACGTATTTGATCAAGCTCTGCACGCCCTATCATTAACCTAACTGCATTGAATTAAGCTGAGGCGCTAAAAACTAACATCCAAATTATTGTTTTCCTGCCACAAGTGTCTGGCGTATGTACATTTCAGGTCCCTATCAAGCCACTCGTGGGGCTTCCACCAGTCCACCCTTCCATCCAACTACACGATTGATGGCTTTCTAATTACCGCCCAACTACCGGATTCGAGGCAACATGTCTTGCCAGCCCGCTCGTGTATCATATCAAGGCTGGGAGCCTTGTTTGAACAGGAGGCTCGGAGGCTGCAGCAGCTCGGACACTTTGCCTCGGCGCTCGTGTCATTAGCTCGTAGCTGCAGCCTGGGGTAAGGTGCAGAGTCAGTCGGTACAAAGAAAGCTTATTAACAAGAGTCCTTGGGTAAGAATGTCTGTAGCAGCTTGTGCCTTATTGATCTTCAGCATGGACTTCGAGAACATCAATCAACGAAAACAAAAGGGAGGAAAAGAGAAGAAAGGAGAGGAGAGAACGGCCCACTGGGCTTGGACTAATAACTTACATCTAACTACCACATACCGATGTTATATCTGGATATGTGTTGATGAAGTAGTTCTTCTATTGCTTCTCGCACCGCAATCTACACACCTCTTTCACCATGTTGTGCACGCCCCTCCCTGGTTCCCGATGCCACTTACTCCACTTCTTATGATCTATTCATCCCAAACTTGTACCCTTTTTGGTCCCTCCATCCTGTCTTCTTGTTGGCTACTCGAAACCCCAGAAGCATGCACGACGCACGTTCAATTCGATGGGACTGTCTGGGTTTTCTATCTCCATGGCAGCAATCATCCCAGCCCTGGACCCCTCAGCCACTTCTTTGGTCTACCTCTGCCACTGCCCCTACAATACCGACCCCTGCTTTCTGGGTTAACTATCTTTTTAGTGTTTTGTCTTGTACCTACCATGTGTCCGAAATCTGTCAAATCTCTTCTGATACACGCTTTTATCCTTAACTTCAAAGGTTGCCACGTTGGCACTTGATAAGATGATCTAGAAGATAGTCTTTCTTTCTACTGGAACGACATTCGCTCCAGCCCTTGCCTTAAATGTCTAATGCCGAACTGTTCTGGCCAGATGGAGGTTTGAACCCGTGCTTTGGCGCATGTCATGGCCGTTGAAGCTGTTGGCCGTAGTCTCTTGTACTTTGATCCCTAATCATTTTGTTAGTTTGAGCATACCCTGCTCGCTCAGGGCAAGTTCCCACAATGCAGCGTTTCCACTCTGTCTTGAACAGTCTTTGACTGTTAAATTACGACCCCGATGCGTCAAGATGCGGACCGGCAGAGAGCGACTCGGCGGCCGGCGCTTGATGATGTGCGTATAAGCAAGCGGGTGGGCGTGTGCGGGCGTGTGCGTGTACTTTCACTTTCCACCACTCACTCTTCCTCTCCACTCATGCCAAAGCTCACTCGAGCTGCTCAGCCCTCTTTTCTCTCTCTCTTTCCTTTCTCTCCTCCATCTTCTATCGAGGATCATCGACTATTTTCTCCTCTTTCTATTGTTTGAGCTTCCCTCCTATTCGTTCATTAAAAAACCTTGGTCCCTGAAGCCGTTGGTCTCGTGCTATAGCTCCTTGAAGTCTGCAAGCTACCCTCGTCTCATTTGCCTCAGTTGTCAGTGGTAAGCTAGCTTGAACAGGACGACCAACAACACAGAACAGGACGAAATATATCCTTGATTGAGGGTACTGTTCGACACATTCCTTTTTATCAACTCACAGGACGGCTCTTCTTGGAGACTCCAATCATCGATGTCAACACGAACCTAGACGTATCCGTTCAGTTGTGAATAACAAGAGTGATTCACAGGACAATACACCACGCTGGCTGGTACCTGCGTCTTGAGCTGTTATCCTTTGATGCATCTTGACTCACCACTCCGTCGTTTACAACAACTTCGCTGAGCTTAAAGCTCCAATCTCTCTCAGTTTTCCCCTTCACTGCGGAACTTTCCATTTCTGGGCCTTCTGTCCTTCATCTCGGCCCAATCCATTCACATCGGTTCAACGTTGGCCTCTAGTCGTCTCTTGTCAGCCTTGGATCTTCTCCACTTCTCACACAAGCTTCCTACTAACTAGCACTCGTTGACAGCTCTTTTCTGCGCGTGCCCCCCATGTGTGCTATGTGGAAGAGCCATCCATGACTGGTTCCAAATGAACTTGGCCCTGCTTGTCAACTGGTTTCATCAGCCCCGCTCACCTCGACCGCCACAACTCTGGAGCTGGCCGACATCTCCAGCTCGCCGCCTGTCACCTCTGGCCATCTTATACAAAGCTTGCATATCCACAACCCAAATTGTACGCCGCTTCTTTCTGTTCCCCTCTTCTTCCTTCTTTGATATCGCTTGCTTTATATTCTCGTCATCTGTTTCTTCTCCCTCGTATACCTCCAGTCCCCAGTTGGAGACTTGTATTAGAGGAACCACGAGACAGTTGCAGCCCAAACAACAATTTTTTTTCTTTTGGCAATCCCTTCCTTTTGATGCTCCCTGATTTGCTTGATCACTTGATCTGGCTGAATCGTACTGTCAGAGCTACCCAGATCTTCAAGCGTGGAGTGCAATCTTCTTGTATAACATCGTTGCCCACCTCCCCTGCCCAGCACTCAGTCAACTGTTTCTTATCTGTTTAAAAGAAAAAAGTCAATTGCAGCAAGCCCCAGCCTCCCAACAATACATGCGCCTTCATTTACTCTTGCCGTACAAATGTCCCCACTGGCGTAGCCCAGCTACCATACAACGATGCTTACCGTCAAGCAGCCACCAACTTACGGCTACAAGTCCGTCCATGATCTCCCGACTCCGCCTTCAACCTCTCGACCTTCTCCCCCCTTGATATATCGAGAACCAGCAAGCAATTCTCTGCCTATCGCCTATCGGGGACACAGTCCACCATCACAGCCCATGTCGGCTCCTCATCGTGGCCTGCCTCCGCCGGCGGCCATGACTCTTCCTCCCCAGCAGCCCCCAGTGGCTGGTGCTCCTCCATCTACACATCTTCCACCCCATCCGCCTCCTCCGCCTCCGCCACAGCCATCCTTGGGCCCTCCTGGTCACCAGCAGAGAGATTCATGGGGCCAACTACCTGCTCCACCTCAGCAATGGCAAGGAGCAGAGGAATCCATGAGGCATTGGCTACAGGCGAGGGCGGAAGAGGATAAGAGAAAGCAGGAGGAAGAGCGGACGAGGCAGGAGAGCTTGCGTCTAGAGCAGCGTAAAGTTGAAATGGATATGCTGCGGACGTCGCTTCAGGCAGGTATACCTCCTCCCATGGTTCCTTTGGTGTTTGCGGGCATGGGTAGCGGAGGAGTCGCGCCACAAGCTGCCCTGGAATGGGCTCAGCAGTTCATGCCCCCTGGACAGGCTCCTCCCCGTGCCCAGATTATGCCTGCACAGTGGCCTGTGTCACCCGAACACCAGCGAGAACCTCAAACACTGTCGCATACCCACGCACAGCACCCGGGCATTCCATCTGCGTCGACCCCAGCAGCCGGATATGTGTATCCGGCATCACCATCAAGGCCTCGAGGCCAGACAGTGAGTGGTGCTATAGGACGACCCATGGGCATATCGACATTACCGAGCATCAACACCAACGTGCCACAGCCCGCACACGTTCCTCCCCCGATGCACTCACATCAGCATCCGCATATGCAGCAACAACAGCAGCAAGAAGCCCAGTCGAGTCCTTCGATATACTTTCACCACTGGCAGCCACCGACATCGCAAGCTAGCGGAAGCTCGAACCGACCCGGAAGTCCTTCTGGTTCGTCCAAGACCAAGAGAAAGAGAGACTCTCTGTGAACTGACATAGCTTCTGTGACCATAGGGGAAACTCCCAGAAAGCGCAAGGCAACAGGGCATCATGCGCCTTCCCCAACCCGCAGTGAGCAGCGATATCGATCACCTCCGCCTCTCAGTCAAAGCAGCTCGTCGAGCGCAGCTTTTCGTGGATCGCGACGTGGTCATTCACGACAAAGAAGTGACATGTCACCCTTTAGAGTGGTCGGGCCAGGACGGTCTCGCAGAGAGAGTTTTGGCGGACCTTTACGCCGAATGTCGCCGATACGCGCCTCCACGCCCATGCCCTCGCAAGAAAGACCGGGTAGCGAGAACAAACAGTCGGTATCAGCTATATTGTCAGAAGAGCCACCGCCTAGCACACGGTATCCTGGGCCCCGTCGCCCGAGCGAAGAGCGAGAAAACCGCTACAAGCAGCCATCACCTGGAGATTCAAAGCCGCATCGAAGCATCGAGGAAACCTCAAAATCGCGAGAAGATTCAGGGGACAGACAAGGCGGTTGATGATAGTGCACCCTAGACGCGGTTTTGTCGATCGGCTCTCACGCTTATGCGCCACATGTCAGTCATTTTATGTCTAAGCGTGGCTGCTATTTAATTTACGATAATCCACAGATCACACACAAACATGAAAGAGTAATTTGCCCGGCCGGATTGATCAACTATCCCTGGCTTGTTAGTAGGCATACCCGAATCAATGCTCTGTACCACCTACCTATCGAAACAAAATATGCATCGGACCAGTTGAGTGGCATTCTCTCATGGTTACTACTAAAAGTTTTTCGGACTCAGACTCATCGAAGTTGGTCCCTTGGCTTTACATTAGTCTTTTAGAAGTTTGCGCGCCACTTTGTGTTAAATATACGTCTCGTTGAGCTGCACTGGAGAGGGCAAGGATTTGGCTAAAGGTTGGGTGCACGGTACAAAATGGAGTTTTTGACTTTGATTTTCGGTTCAATGGGTCGAAGGCATCAAGGAACAGCATTGGTTATAGCGGGCTCGGGCTCGGGCTCGACGAGACGAAGGAAAGGGAGAAAATGGGAATATTACTTGTTCTATGGACGGTTATAGACACCCTATGGACTTAGATCGAGGAGGATGAAGTTTCGCAGCTTCAGGCAATGCATAACTGACATTCTCAAGGAAGTCAAGTCAATTTGAGCGTCATCAAACAGACTCGGAGCGAAATGAACAACAATTGTCGCAGATCGAGGAATGGAGAACACTCTCGCTGTTGTTTATTTTGAATGTTAAGCCACGTTTTAAGAGGCTTCGGCCCATACAAAAAGAACAGCCTCAGTCTACTAGAAGCCTCACAGTCTATTTCTCAAAGTAGTCCCAGGAACGCCCCAAAACAGAGTTGCGGATACTGAACGCCCGTAGCACTAGCAGCACATAGCTTATGCTAATGAACTCCAAGCTGCATTAGAGACCCAGGAATCGAAACTTGTATTCCCGTAAATCAGGAATCTGCTCAGTCTAGTCCTCAAAAAGTCTAGATGCTACTTGGGCTGCGACCCAAAGCCAGCCATGTCGTTGAACTTCAGAGAAGTCTTCAGTCGAGAGAGAGAGAGGGAGGAGAGGGAGGGGGGAGTCGAGAATACGAAAAAGCCACAGTATATCTGACTTACCAGAAGAGGAAAGGACTTATGGAGGAGTCCTACAAGAACAAACCGGGTCTTCTGCATGTAAGCCACTATGCTACTGTGCCTTGTGCTTTTCAAAAGTTCACAGAAAATTCATGCCATGCTTATTTCAGCTCTCATCATGCATGTGTGGCTTGTGTGGGAGTGTCTTGAAGGGGTAAACTCGGCCGTCTGTGCGTGATATTGAAGGAAGCTTGGAAGCAATCAGCAGAAAGGCATGAGGACCAGAGTAGGATCCTCTCGAGAAGCTATTATCTCGCGTCATTCCCTTATTCGGCTCATGCTATAGCCCATCGACTTATCGCCAGGTTGGTTACATCGAAGCTAGGGTCAAACTCAATTCTGTTTTTTTATAAATCTTCAATAGTACCAGAAATAAGGACAGGGAATAAGCGAATGTTGTTGGCTGCTTTACGGCCAAGTAGCTCAATGGATCAATCCCAACAAATTAGGATGTCAATAACTCAACTTAGCTGTGTTATAAACAGTGATCCCACAATCGAGGTTGGTCGCTTGTCTTCGCGTTGGTGAGCCGCTCCCGACCTCATGGCCGGGTCCCCCGCACCGGAGCTCCGGGAGGGGTCGGAGACCCATGCCCAAAGAGGCAATCAGCACGGTCGAGGTGGAGGGGCACAGACTGCTCTGCCGAGAAAAGCAACGGGGGTGGATAGATGGACAGAAGAGAATGACAGCTTCAGGCATTGAGGCTGACGGAATCACAGAGATCCGAGTAACTACGGATACCTGGAGAAAAACAAACTTTGCTGGGGTTTGTTGGGAGGGGCCAAATTCACCCGATTACGACTTAACAGTTACTGTTATACCTTGATGTTACCGTCTCGAGGACGACTGTAGCCATGCCACCATATTCTGTCACACACAGCATGATCTGATCAAGCCACAGTTAGCTAAGGCTGAGAGGGTTACATGAATCTGACCAAACGAGCGAGGCAAAGCTGGGAATGGATTCAATGATACTGCATAGTTATACATTAACTTCGAGGCTAATAACCTAACATAGCGCTCGATCCTTGATTTATCTCTCAGCTCTCCTTATTCTATATCTTTTGCCATCTCTTTATCCTCCTCGTGTACATTAAAGTGCAATCCACGCCGTATTTTCCCAAGCCTCGTCAAAACAACCCTGGAAGCAAGACAGCAAAACAAAGTGATGCCAGGAGGGGTATATAAGATTAGGTTCCGTGGCTCCAAACGCTATCAACCATCAAAAGGGGAAAACTCCCATCCTTCTTCTGAATCCATGACGCTCTCATGAACGAATACAAAGAAAAGAATGGCCTCGTTTAGGCATGTGGTCCCTCAGAGGCCGAAGCATGAAGGGGGTATCAGCAACGCAACGCAAAACAGGAAAACACCTTGGAGGGTATCGTGATACAGCTTCGCATGTACAAAGAGAAAGGACGCCAAAAGACAAAGGAAAATGCCCTCGTTGGGCTTGAGTCATGGCAGTAAGACCTGCTACGTCTTCTTCTTGCCGTGGTGTTGTTTGTATTCCGCCTTGACCACTTTCATCAAAAAGTCCTCATCTTTGACAGGGATAGGTGATGTTAATGCCTTCATGGCGTTCTCGAATTCCGCACCCAAGAGGACCTCTCGGAGGGCTTGAGCCAATGCTGCACTAGTAGCGTGCAAAACATCGTATTCCACCGTCTGAGGGGTGTTGGTCTCGGACTTCCGTGATTCAGACATCGAAGACGTGTCATTGCCCAATAGGAGGAAGACATCCCAGATTCGTAGCTGGGCTGGAAAGGGTACGGAAAGGTTAAATAGCGTCAGGTACCAGCGCGTACCATAAGCAGTAGTGTCAATGCACAACTCGTCCTAGAATTGTCAGTGCCTAACTTGGGATGTCGAGAGGCTTCAGACTCACCAGTTTACTGGCTACTTCCTTATTAAGCCAGTGCTTACTGAAGTCACCCATGGCTGCCATGAGTTCCTCAAAACCTGGACGATATAGACGAGCCAGTCCACGGAGATGCCACATTCGCACTAGCATGACAAAGCACTTCTCTTCATCGAAGTAGCAGAGCAGTGTTGCCGCTAGCGAAGCCATGCCCTGAACATAACCTGTCTCAGGATAGTAGATTGATATCGCGTGAAGGACCCTGAACAGTAGTCGCTGGCCACCTCGATAACGTCGTCGAAACATAATATGGCGGCTGATGGTTCTGGGCACGTCCAAGTCGATCTGTACATCGTCTGGGGAGCTTCGTCGCTGGAGCCGATGAAATTCAGCAACGATTCTGTCCTCAGAGGGTGATCCCTCATGTTCCCTCGCGCTAGTGGCCATAAAAGACCACCAAGCTGCTCCCCTCCATCGGTCGGGTATTCCTTTCCATGTCCTTTCAATCAGCTTCGGGTTTCTCATGTCGAACTCAAACTCCATGCCCTCACCCTCGCCGCCCCGGCGAACAACTTTGGCCATTTTCCTCCATTTTTCTGACCTTTCCCATTCCTTGCGTTTCATAACTTCTGTTAACTTCTCGGCTTGAATCTCGTCCACGATGTCCTGAAGGCTGGGGGCTGCATTGAGCATGTCACCTGCTTCGTCCATCCACCGCCTGTCGCGATTGTGGGGCAGCAAGTTGCTGGCTTGCCGTATTACTGATCGAGATGAGCGAAGCGATGTTGATATTGATAATTCGGATGTTTGTGTGTTGAGCGACCTTGCGGAAACCTTCCTGGTAGGAGTGCGTCGGCCACTACCACTGAGAGTGGATGTCAAACTATAAGGGTCTCGTTTCTGTAACAAGCTACGTTTTCTTGGGGAGCCCGAGGCTGACCGCGTCTCTGTTGGTGTGCCCATTCTTGAGCCAGGCGGTGGCGGTAGTGTGATGAAGCCATATCGGTCAACGTGGGCACCTTCAAGGTCATCCCAATCTTCGAGTCCTCCGCCTCTAGACCGCAGGGAAGAAGAACTTCCAGAGGCGGGCATTTGCCAAGCCGGAGAAAGGTGATTTGGAACACTAAAGAGGAGACGCAGGTTAGCATAAATCATAGTCCGCAATGATTACAATAGGGACAATCAAGGAAAACCATACGGGTCAAGTTCATTCTCCTCGGACGGGACCTCGGGAGTTGGTTCAAGACGCTCGCAGTACGAGTGCCTCTTGCCAGGCTCACCGTGAGAACCATCGCCAACAGTATAGAGCGATCTCACCTTTTGAGATTCCTTCTCCACGTCGGCGGCCAAGACACGAATGTCAGGGGCTGACATCTGGCCCTGAGGAGAACCATCGCCTGCCCCCTTAACAGAATTGTTCATGTCGTTGGACTCGTCGCTGGGTCGAGGAAGGGTCTGTGACTTTGGGGTCGTTGGCGTTGTAGGAGTAGGAGTCATGGAACGAGGGGCAGTAGTTGAGGGAGTGGGAGTTGGGGTGGCGCGGCCCGAGTCGCTCTCGTCATTGTTTGCGGTCGCGAGCGTGTCGGCGTTGGTAGAAGAGGGCGAATCAATTGATATGGTGTGCTGTTTGATAGCGCCGTCAATGGCGGCGGCGTCTTGAGCTCCCAACATGATGCTGCCGCGATTGGAAAAAGAAACGGTGTTCATGAAGGCATCATCGAGGAGGCTTTCGCAAGGGATAGACACGTCGAGGGGAACAAAGGGGAGATCGTTATTAGATGAAATGGATGTGGTGCCCGCCAATGTAGCAATGCTAGTGCTATTATTCGAGGTTGTGGAGGCAGAACGGGACCTGTTCCAAAAACGGGAAGAGCCCTGTTCCTTATCCGACGGAAGCGACCCAGACTCAGCCAAATCAATCGCCGTATCGGCATCAGTGGCTGGAGCGTTGACGGTAGCGTTGGCGGTAGCGCCAAGGGCTGTGGTAATAGTGG